CGGCCCGGCGCTCCCCGGCTGCGCCTCGACGACGGGCCCGTGCATGCTCACGTAGCCGAACACCACGTAGCCGAGCTGCCGCTCGGTGCGCAGGGCCTCGGGGCCCAGCCGAAGAGGCTCCTCTTAAAGGGGCCCCAGGACACACAAATGAATACACACACATGAAAAGAACCCCCTATTTCTCATATCTTCTGGGTTTCTGTCTTCCCCCCCACTTCCCATATTTTCCCATATTTTCCTGGGAAGGACGATGAATTGTGTCTGTGTGTTTTTTCCCCTCCTGACTTCTTCTGGATCGCTTCTGCAAAAGGATGGCACAGCGGTGCTGCACGCCCTCTCCCCCGTCTGCTTTTTAGTATTAAATGTGTTTGATCTCGTTCGCACGGCGCTGCAACACGCAGCATGAAGCGATTGTCACCAAAGCGGAGCGGGAGGGCAAGGGATGGGGGCGGGAGGACGGCGGAGAAGCAGGAGGAGCGGGGTCTGTTCGGCAAATCCTGGGGTTTTCTCGTGAGTTGTCCGCCGCCGTGCCTCTGGGCACGGAGGGGGTGTGTCCTCAAGTACTTTGCCTTATCCCAGGAGCCTCAGTCCTCAACCCTGACGAGTCTAAGGGGCCCTGACGGAAATTCCGGAATCTACCAGGGCTTCCCGCGTGCCCCCTGGGCTCCCCCGCATCTTGCCGCGTGACTTTTTCAGGCCCGAGAGGGCCCGAAAACGGGCCAAGAGGAACCCACGATGCCCCCCAAGACGGTCCAAGAGGGACAACTCGAGCAAACAACTGCGCCCCGCCTAGAGCATCGTGGTTTCCACTCATGGTTCCCCCTCTCCTCCTCCTCCGCCTCCTCCTCCTCCGCTTTCTCCTGTGCTGCTCCCATGGGAGGCTGCGAACTGCGCAGCTGTCACCACTTTCCTGGGCTCGTACGATGCCCGACTGAATCGAAGGCCGCGCGCACCCAGACGGGACCTCGCTGCTTCCTGGGTGGCTGCGAACCGCGCAGGTTCCTGGGAAGTCCAACGGACTCGGGGGGCTGGCGCACCCAAGCGGGTTGCGCAGCTGCCGCCGCTTTCGTTTCTTGGAGGTCCAGCGGGGTCGGGGGCCACGCGCGCCCAGGCTGGACCTCGCTGCTCCTTGGGTGGCCGCGAGCTAACAACTGTCACTGCGTTCGTGGGCTCCTGGGAGGTCCAACGGGGCCCGGGGCCACGCGCACCCGGACGGGAACTCGCTGCTCCCTGGGTGGTGGACCTCAGTCAGCACGCGGCGCTGTCGCATCGCAGAGCGCAGGGCGCTGGAACGTCACGTAGCGCATAACGCTGTGGTCAATGGCCCACTCTCCCTCCCCTCCTCAAGCGTCCATGACCTGCGGCGACAGCGCTTGCGAACCGAGCAGATGTAGCGCACGGCGCTGCTGCTCTCGCCAGCGGTTCTCCCTCTTCCCGCGAATTCCTCCTTGCCCTCCTCCCCCTCTTCCTCCTCCTGCTCAGCTTTTGTCCCCCGTTCTATGTTGCGCAGGTGTGCGACGTGCGTGGCCCGACATTGCATCGCCTTCCCGAGTGTTGCATCTGTCGCAAGGTGTTGTTGCGTACACTATCCAACAGCCACGAAGAACATTAGGGTACCTTCCCGAAACGACTTCGATCTTATACTTCGGTCCGGTCGTCCTGGTTAACAGTCGCATCACGTGCAGGAGGGGTTGGGCATTTCTCGGGCAATTTGGTAGTTGGTTGGTGGGTGGGGTTAATCGCCAATTTATCGCGGGGATGAGGGAGAACACGATCATGATGAACGGGATGCTAATGCGGATAGCGGTGAGGACGATGATGGAGGTCATCACCGTTAAGACACGGACTCGAACATGACCTCGCCCTTGCCAACGACGCACGTAATGAAGCATGTGTTACGGCCACGATGATAATACACCGACGCAAGTGAACAGACATCATCGACCGACATCGCGCGGAGAGGCAACCAGACATGGAACGACGCCCCAAACCGCATAGTTGCATCTCGTAGGATGACGGCGATGGTGGGGTTCATGCTGATGATGCTGCTGATGGTGATGACAACGATGAGACGGATTTGCTGGATGACGACAGCGAGGTTTCTGACAGTTGTAATCATGCTATTGTCGATGTGGCTGACAGGAAGAGGTGAACGAGGAGGATGAGGACGAATGTTGAGTATGACGAGATGGAGGAGGAGGAGGAGGAACAAGAGGAGGAACAAGAGGAGGAACAAGAGGAGGAGGAGGAGGAGGAGGAGGAGGAGAAGGAGGAGGAGGATAATGATGACGAGAAGAAGGAGAAGGAGGAGAAGGAGGAGGAGGAGGGGGAGGAGGAGAAGGAGGAGGAGGAGGAGGAGGACAAGGAGGAGGAGAATGAGGAGGAGAAGGAGGAGAAGGAGGAAGCAATGGAGTGGAAGGAGGAGGATGAGGAGGACCAGAAGGAGGAGGGCGGGGAAACGCGGGTCGAGCGGAGGTCTGGCCTCGAACACCGGCCTGTCCATCACCTGCGGGCGGCTTGCCCCGCGGGGGTGAGGGAGCGGCTAAGAAATGATGAGGAGGGGCGATGAGGGCTGGGAGGATGACGGTTTGGTATGGGTTGGCCCCGGGCCCCCAAGGCGAGGTCAAGCCCTGGTCAAAATTCGAGCTCCGACTTGCGATCGGTCTCACCGCTGTCGTCGCTCGCTGAATGCTCAAGGGAGCTCATGGACCGCGAGGAGGGCGCTCTCCCACAATGGGTGAGAAGACGGAGGAGGAGGGGCAAGATGGGGGGGATGATGATGACCATGTACAAACCGTGGAGACGAGACAGAAATGAGGCCAAAGGAACCGTGAAACAAGCAGGCACTGAGGACTGCGACGAGGTGCACGAGGACAAGAAGGATAATGCAGAAGAACGGGATGAACAGGAGGCGGGAGGGAGGGAGGTTGAGGAGGGAGGGAAGCGGCCGGTAGCGAAGGTGGGAGAAGAGAAGGCAGGGGAAGAGAGGAGAGTGGAAATGGAGGGGGAGATACATGGCTGAGGGAAGGAGCCTGGTGAGACAAGCAACCGTTGCCCCTCCCCATAATCCTCCTCTTCCTCCTTCTTTTCTACCCGCGCGAGCAGCCGGGAGTCCCCTTACCCCACACCCAAATTCGAGGAGGAGGGGGACTGGGGGACGGATGAGGGAGGGAGAGGGTGGTGTGTAGACAGATGAATACAAGGAAGAGGAGGAGGAGGAAGAGGAGGAAGAGGAGGTTACTGACAGGCATAATGATGACGAGAAATACTCGGAAGATGATAGGCAAGACTGACGATGGAGGCCGGGAGGTGTATGATGATGGTAATGGTGGTTGTGATCATGGTGAGGACGAGGGGGATGAAGTAGTGGAATTTGCAGATGAGGGGTGAAAGATGAGAAGGAGAAGGTGAAGGATTGAGGGGTCGGTGGAAGGTAGGAGAGCGGATAGAGAAGGATCGGTTTGGGGATGCGGGGTGGTGGTGGTGGTGATAGCGGTGGGGGAAGAGGGGATGGGGAGTCCCTGGGAGAGAATGGATGATGGGAGGAAGTTAAAGGATGTGGAACTGGAGGCAGGTTGAAGGAGGACAGGAAGGGGTAAGGTTAAGGAGAAGGGAATGGGTGGCGGGCAACAGGAAGGGGAAGGAGATGGTAGAGAGGGGATGGCCCGGGAGTGCGGGCGAGGAAATGGGAGAAGGAGGAAGAGGAGGGGAGGACGAGGATGAGGCCCCAACATGCCCACTATGTATCCATATTGGCTCTGAGCGCCTCAAGACGGTTTGCTCCCAATGTAACATGACTATGGCCCCAAAATCCACAAATGATTCAATATTGCAAGTGTGCGTCAAGCGGCAATCATCTACGCCTAGGTAGCCCCAATCAGGCCCGCATGCGTGTCCAATCTAGCGACCCCAAACCGCGAGTACGTCCAGGGGCCAATAGCTCAGGAGGAATCCACTCAATTATTGGCCATGCTTTGACACTGGGCAGACGCTGTCGGAGTAGACGTCGTTGACATTTGGTAGATCCCTTCGGGGCCAACGCGTCCATGTTGAACGAACGAGCTTTCGCCAGACCATGCCACGAAATTGGGCGATTGACTCATCAATGCTGCTAAGCATCGCGCAGGGGACACATACTGAAAATATCTGTACCACTCACTAGCCAACAATCCTTGCTGTAAACTCTACATAAAACGTCCTACAAACTTCAGAACACAATGCGGGCGGAATGCACGGAATACAAAACATGTGCCACCTAAATGAAAAAGGGGTTACCTTGTGATAGCAAAGAAACTGCGGACAAGCTCAAACTGTTTGTTGTATGTTAACGCAAAGCACATGCGTTCACAAACTAAACCGTCACATGGTTTTCCATTACGTCGCGTTGGGGCAACAATTATTCTGTGCTGCCTTGATGTGCCGTGCAAGGCAGTGCAATTGCACTGCTTTGCTGTACTCGCCTCATTTTGCTTATGCTGAAATGGAGTACTTTGTATTTGTTTGCTGGGAAGTGCAAAACAATGCATTGGATTTACCTGTCAATGCTTACTTTTCTTTGCATCGCACTGCACTGATATTATAACGCAACGCAGTTCGATGCAATGTAAATGTAGGGCAACAAAATGCAAGGCAATGTGATGCAATGCAATGCGAAAAGCGTAATGCAATGTATTATTTATGCGATAATCTGCAATATAGTGCGAAGCAAAGCATTGTAGCACAACGGCATTAAATTCGGAAGAGCATTTCAATCCAGCGCAATGCAGACCCATGAAATGACTTGCAATGTAGCGCAACGCAATGTAATGCAACACGCCGTAGCGCAACCGAATGTACTGCAAACTCTGCGTGAGGGAGCTGTCCTCAAGACCTTTCGACCGCTGGCCTCTTGCAAAGAACAACAAGGACTTATCTATATTACCTCAGGCAGAACTTTTGAGGGCAAACACACCAGCATGTCACCTCTCCGATAAGACCTCGACAATTGGCTTCCCTGCGCAAGAAAAACTGAGGACCCCTCTCGGACACTTCCGGCAGACCTAGATGGGAGAATGGGGGGTTGGGACACCAGATGGGGGCGTGAAGGGGGTAGCAAACCAATCTGCCACCTCTCCGATAAGACCTCTCAAACACGAGCCTCCTTGAATCAGGGGGGCGTAAGACCCGGGTACAGGGGACTCGGAAATCCCCGACGAGGTCGTCAAAAAAATGACGAGGCCGAGCCTGCATTTTGACGAGGCCTCCCGCTGCAGACATCCCACGAAACTCCTCCTCGTCAAAATCCGAGTCGCGGTCAGCAAAAAACGATGGCGAACCCGAGTCCTGGCAAACCCAGGTCTTACGCTCCCCCGATTGAAGACCGATCGCATCCGCCAGTGCCGGGGGAGGCCCGGGGGGCCGCCCGGGGGGCGGCCCGGCAACCGCCGAGCAGTCAGAACCGCCAAGGCCGGGGGCGGCCCGACGACTGCAGGCCATCGTGAAGTCGGGCGTGTCCCCCTGCAGGGGGATGTTCGACGAAAAATAAAAAATACCCCCCAAACAACTTTTTAAAAAATAATAGAAAAATAGTCTGGGGATTATTTTTTTGAGTACCTTGTGGCCTTGTTGCCATATTTTGGGTGTATTTTTTCGAACATCCCCCTGTAGGGGGACCCGCCCGACGTAAGGCCATCGAGACTCCACGAGATCCGGCAGGCCGCGGGCGGCCGAGAGGCCGCGCAGGCGCGAGGGGCGGCGACCGGGGGGGGGCCGCGAGGCGCCCCGACGACCGCCGCACCAACAAGGCCCTCTGGTGGACGAGGCCGCAGGGCGCACGCGGTCTGCTCCGGGCGGGGAGGGGGGAGGGAGGGGGAGGGGGAGGGGGGGGAGGGAGGGGGGAAGGAGGGAGGGGGAGGATGGGGAGGAGGGGAGGGGGGAGGAGGAGGAGGGAGGGGAGGTAGGGGGGAGGAGGGAGGAGGGAGGGGGGGGGGGGGGAAAGCTAGGTGCGCTCGCGTCATATCTGACGTCCTACCCCTCCCTCCCATCCCTTACCATGGCGCTGATTTTCTCTATCCGCGGACGCGTGTCGTAGCGGACCTGTGGCTCCGCGCGCGCGTGCGTAGTGGGTGGTGGTGCACGTGCGTGCGTGCGTGCGTGCGTGTGTGCGTGGTTGTGGTGGTGGTGGTGGTGGTGGTGGTGGTGGTGGTGGTGGTGGTGGTGGTGGTGGTGCTGTGCTGGTGGTGGTGCTGGTGCTGGTGGTGGTTGTGGTGGTGGTGGTGGTGGTGGTGGTGGTGGTGCGGCGCGGTGGTGGCGGGCGGATGGGCGCGCGAGAAAGAGGCCCGCGCTGGGGCGAGAACGCCATCCTGAACGACGGAGGCCAAACACCGATCCGAAAATGAGGCCCACGCTGCAGCGGGAGCACGATTCGGAACGATTCGGGAGCAGAAATGAGGCCGGCGCCTCAGCGAGAGCATCATTTTGAAAAAAACGCAGGCGAAAACCCGTTTCCCGGGAATCCTGTGTAAAAAAACAATACGCGGGGGGCGTTCGGCCCGAAAATGACGCCGGCGCCTCAGCGAGAGTCGTTTCCCGGGATTTCCCGGGAATCCTGTGTAAAAAAACAGTACGCGGAGGGTGCGCGGCCATCACCCGGACGCCATCAGGGGAAGAGGGAGAGTATTTCATATTGAGTAATTGTGGAGGGGGGAGGAGGGAGGAGGGGGGGGGAGGGAGGGAGGGAGGGAGGAGGGAGGGAGGGGGAGGAGGGAGGGGGGAGGGGGGAGGAGGGAGGGGGGAGGAGGGAGGAGGGAGGAGGGAGGAGGGAGGAGGGAGCAAGGGGTGGGTCCGCCGCCGGGGATCTGCGATCCATTACAGAAGAAGGACGGCGGGGGTTTTCTCTGAGGGCGTTTGCGAGAAGGCGCTGTGCGAGAAGCGGAGCGGGCTCGGGGATTTAGACTCAGCCAATGCTGGGGCGGCCCGAGAGGCCGCGCGGGCGGGGGGCGGCCGACGGGGGACGCGAGGCGGCTAGACTGACCGACCGGCAGCCGAACGCAACCAAGCGTGGGGAATGTTCTGGCAGAGACCAGGGAGGTAGAGACGGAGGAGGAGTCGAAGGCCAGCTGCGGACAAAACACGATCGTTGACTAGAGGCGCGGCGGCCTCCGCGCGCGCATGTCAGAATACATCGGAGTACTAAAAACATGCGCGGATTCTCGTAAGGATTGGTGATCGCGCAAGCGCTCCGCAAGGAGATGGTCGCAGAGTAGGAGAACGAGGCCCTGGCGCGCGCGCGCGGGAATATACGGAATTCGAATATCTGCTCGTAGACTCAGCAAATCATCACACGTGCGCTCGCGCGCGCAAGCCATATACCAAAAACCTCCCTGTACAGAAGAATTCGGGGCCCTCCCCGTCAGTTTAAATCGAAATAATCGGGGAAACAAGCGTGTGGGGGGCATGAAAGGGAACAGACGGGCATGTCACCGCTTCGATAAGACCTGGCCCTCTGGCACAGAACAGCTAGAGACGCCTGGGGTGGTGAGCGGGGATAGATCACATCTAAAGCACAGCATGGGCATAAACTTTCGGAGGTCCGCGCGGACTTCTTGGGTCGGTGCTGGACCCCTCTTCTGACGCGCGCAGCGCGTCAGGGGCGGCGCCAGACGCTCCGCCACGGGCTCCGGCGCCGGCCCAAGAACTCCGCCGCCCGAGGCGTGCACGGCGTGCTGTGAATTTTAGGGAGCTCTTTTTTGGACGCCGGTAAATTGGTACGGAAAGAATGGGTACAGTGCCCAACAACAAATGTTGTCCCCGACCAGCAGCGGCTGCCGTTCGGCAGGCGGCCTTCTGTCTCGAATGGACACAGGCCGCGGCGGCGTGGACAGCGAGTCCTGCTCAAGATGAGCAGGAACTGCTGTTGGGAATTGTACCCATTCTTCCCGTACTCCAGATTCCGTAATAAAGGGAGGGGGGAGTCTCATTTCGGGGGGGGGTCTCTTCCAGGCTATCTTGGGAGGGGGAGGGGGAGGAGGGGGAGGAGGAGGAGGAGGAGGGGGAGGAAGAGGAGGAAGAGAAGGAAGAGGAGGAAAGCTCGGAAGAGAAGGAAGAGGAGTAGGAGGAGGAGGAGGAGGAGGAGGAGGAGGGCATTGCACCCATTCTTCCCGTGCCCATTTCGGGCGTCCATCCTCCTGCTGGATTCTTGCAACCGCTCTTGACCACTGACCCGGGGGCCTGCCTCTCTCCTGGGGGCCAGGCAACGGCCCCCGGAGGCCGAGGACTGCGCACAAGTGGGAGGAGGAGGAGGAGGAGGAGGAGGAGGGGGAGGAGGAGGAGGAGGGGGAGGAGGAGGAGGAGAAGGAGGACGATGAGGAGGAGGAGGAAAGCTCGGAAGAGAAGGAAGAGGAGGAGGAGGAGGAGGAGGAGGAGGAGGAGGAGGAGAAGGAGGGAGGAGGAGAAGGAGGAGGAGGAGGGCATTGTACCCATTCTTCCCATACCCCTTTCGGGCGTCCAGACCTTCCGTAGAAAGAGAGGTTCCCAGTGGGGCCTCGGCCGATCGCGCCGGCCGCCCAGAAAGTCCCGCCTCCGCTTGCCTGCCCCCTTCAGATGGCGCCCAGGTGGCCCCCACGACGGCCGAGAGGGCTTCAACACGGATCAGGTGCCGCCAAGAGAGCCCGAGATGGTCCCAAGGTGTCTCCAAGACGGCCCAAGATGCACCCAAGGCGGCCTCAGATGGCCGCAAGTGGCCCAAGACTGGCCAAGAGAACCCCAAGAGGCCTCCGAGATGGCCCAAGAGGCCTCCAAGGGGTGGTCCTCCTGGGAGGACCACCCCTTGGAGGCCTCTTGGGCATTTGCTTCTTTCTGGCATTCCGACGGCCCAAGAGGCGCCAAAGATCACCCAAGAGGCCTCCAAGATGGCCCCATGACGACCCAAGAGGCCCCCAAGAGGGCCCCAAGATGGCCAAAGACGCCTCCAATACGCCCAATATGGCTTCCACGACAGTCCTGAAGCTACCCGATCATGCCCCAGGAAGGTTCAGAGAGGCCCCCGAGACGACTTCCGACGGCGTCATACGGGCCAGGAACGCCCTAAGACAGCCAAAGAGGCCCCCAAGAAACCCCCAATAGCCCCCAAGAGGCCTCCAAGAGACCCCCAGGAAGCTCCCAGGAGGCCCCAAGGGTGCCCGAAGAGGCTCCCAAGAGGGCTCCTCCTCCTCCTCCTCCTCCTCCTCCTCCTCCTCCCTCTCGTCAACCTCTCCCTCAACCTCCCCCACATGTTCCCTGAAGAGTTTCCAGAGCGGCTGGGGAATACAGAAGCCGATAGCCAAACGTTTGGCCACAGAGGCGCTTCCCCAAAAGGCAGGGGGCAGCGGTGATTCGTCGTAGGCGTCTTCGATCCGCGCGTACCTCCGAAGATTTATGTAGTTTTTTCTTCGAAGATCGGTATGCCACCTCTCCGATCATGCTGAGGTGCACGCGGTCGGCGATGGTGGGGACCCCGAGCTGGTAGGAAACCTACGGGGGGAGCAGGCCAGCGTTCTGCTGGCGGGCGCCCCGCCATCGAAACGCGCAATCAAATTGCCCTGGACTTCGGGCGCATCGCTTCTTTCCATCCCGGCGTTTTTCCAAGTAGAAACAACTCTTGGGGAAGGGGTCGACACCTCTGGGGCCGCGAATTGAACAATCACTCGGGGCTGCTGCGTGCGTGTCTTCAGCTTCCCATCAGGAGAATGCAACGTTTGACGAACGAAGACCCTTGCAGAATGCTGGTCGTGAGCGTCCGGGGAGCGCATGTGAAGTCATGAGGACGAACATGGATGCGCGTGGCGAGTCTGAGACGGTGATGGCGCCGCCGGCGTGCATGACGATGATGATGACGATGCCGATGACGATGACGACGATGCTGATGACGATGACGATGCTAATGACGATGACGATGATGATGACGATGACAATGATGATGATGCTGATGAGGAAAGTGATGAGGATGCAGATGATGCTGATGGTGCTGATGCCGATGCTGATGCCGATGCTGATGCTGCTGCTGATGCTGATGACGACGATGACGATGACGACGATGCTGATGACGATGATGGTGGCGATGATGGTGGCGATGATGCCGATGATGCTGATGCTGATGATTATGATGATACTGATACTGATGATGATTGTGATGATGATGATGATGATGCTGATGCTGATGCTGATGCTGATGCTGATGCTGATGCTGATGATGACGATGATGATGATGATGCTGATGATGATGCTGATGATGATGATGATGATGATGATGATGATGATGATGATGATGATGATGATGGTGATGGTGATGGTGATGGTGATGGTGATGGTGATGGTGACTCTCGCGCTGACGCCTGCGGCCGAGGCCGACCCGCGCGGGCCGCCGGAGCCGCACCTCGCCACCCTGCCCCCGACCTGCCTGCAGCGGTGCGCGCGCGCGGGCAGCCTCCGCTGCTCGGGCCCGCCGCCCTCGGCCAGACCCCGCGGCGCGGCGACGGCCGCGCTCCGCCTGCGAGGCCGCCTGGCCGCGGGCGCCACCTGCGAGCCCGCCGCGCGGGGCCCGGACGCCGCCGCGCCCCGAGCCGCGCCACGCCGCCACCGCCCCGGACTGCGCGCCGGTCTGCGCGGGCCGCGGCTGTGCGCCCCCCTGTATCTGATTCTTGGCGGCGCGCACAAGGGGGTGGGGGGAGGGGGGTGGGCTTCTCAGAAGGAGGCTGCTTCTTAGAAGGTGCCGGCCTTACGTCTTTGGATAAGGTCCGCGCCTACTAAGAAGCAGGGGTGCTTCTGAGAACCCCCCCCCTCCCCCCACCCCCCTCTGCGCGCGGCTGAGATTCGCCGCGTGGCCCTCGGCCAAGAACAGACGTGCCGCACGTTTCCACCGGTCGGAGGAAGTAGGTCGAAGCATGAAGTAGGAAGGCGTTGAACATAGATTGGGTTCCGTCCGTCTCCTAAGGAGGACGGGAAAGGTGAAGCCACTCGATCATTGAAGTAGGGAGGCGCTTAGAGTAGATTGGAATCTGGGAATCCAGCAATACCTACTTTCAACGACCGATGGCTGGGGTCTGGCGCCACCGCAGGCTCATCGTCTGCGCGGCGGACTCCAAGACAATGCCGCCTCCTGCCATCTCGCCCCTCTCGGGGCGGACGAGAATGGGGGGGTAGCAAAAGGTGGGGTTAGCGAACCAGCTCACGCAGCTGGCTTGCCCGGCGCCCTCGCGTCGCAGGCGCATCGCAGGAGGCGGCCACGTATCGGGGCAAGGACATGGAGGCGGAGCCGAAAACAGCTGCATGTAACTTTCGCACCCCCCCTGTCCCAACCCCCCCCCTTCGTCCGACCCGAGCCTCGAGCGCCTCGCCCTTCGTTGGGGGTGGAACCGCTACATCGAATGCCCGAGCGTCGCCGCCGCCCAATCAAGCGCAACGTGCTCTGCCTGCACTCCGCGACCAGGCCGGGCACCTGTGTGGACGTCGTGTACGCCCCGCGCGCCCACCAGACGAGCACGGCGCCCACCTGCCTCAACGCATGGCCAGAAATGGACGGCCGAATGCATCGCGTAGGGCATGGGGCCTCCAAGACCAGACATCCGTCGCCTCGACAAAGCGAGGCGGCCGACTTGTCGCTATTCTTGGCCTTTTGTTAGCCGATTCTGGGCCTCTGGGACATCGAAAACGACTCGGGATGAACAACTGGCCCCGAGGAAGGGGTCGAGAGGTCCGTGAATGCCCTCTATGCTTCGTCTTCGTTCCGAGCCTTCTGAGAAGGTCTGCCCCCTCTCACTTCGGGACTGGGGACGGAGGTTAGCGTGTCGCGCCGAAGCGCGGTGAGCCAGGACCGGCGGCGCGAGACGCGAAGCCAAAGTTCCTGACCGTACCTCCCTCTCCCGAGAGGAGCCCGAGCGGGGCTCCAGAAGCGGGGCCCAACGCAGCCCCCAGGAATCGGCTGCGCGTAAGAGTGCCCCTGGGCAAGAGTGACCTCTGGAGCGCGGCCTTTGGGGGGCGCGAGGGGGTCAAACCCCAGCGCGCAGGCCGCTGCTATCGCATCGCATTCGGCGATCGGGGGGGCCCAATGGGCCAGCACCAAAGGTCACTCTGGCGAAGGGTCGCTCTGACGTGTAGTCGGAAGAACGCACCAACGGATCCCTAACGGGCCTCGCCCAGGCCCCAGCGCGCAGGAGGCCCCCAGAGGGCCCCAACTCGACCACCCCTTGAAGGCTGCTCGGGCGGATCCCAGCTGTCGGTCTGTATGGGCACCCTCCTTCTCTCACGCTTTCCTCCCCCCTCCCTTCCTGCTTCCTCCCCGCTCACCTCCTGCTTCCTCCCCGCCTCCCCTCGACAATTACTCAATACGCTTTGCGGTGCTCTTCTACGCCATGCCATGCCGTGCTCTACAATGCATCGCGTACCCTTTCGGGATCATTGCCCTGCTCGACATCCGACTGTGCGAGTAGAGAGAGGATCTACGCCATGGTAAGGGATGGGAGGGAGGGGTAGGATGTCAGATATGACGCGAGCGCACCTAGCTTGTCCCTCCTCCTCTGCCTCGCCCCCCCTTCGGCGCAGGAGCCAGCGTGGCCGAGTTGGGATCCTGGGCGATCGGGTTGGCGACGCGGATCTCCAGCTGGCGGCACCGCGCGAGAGCGGCCGAGGGGCGAGCGAGGGGGGGGGAGGGGAGGGGAGACGAGGGCGAGTTCGGGGAGAGAGGGGACACGAGGGCAAGTTCGGGGAGAGAGGGGAGAGAGAGGGGAGAGAGGGACGCGAGGGCCGAGAGGCGAGCGGGGAGGGGAGGGGGGACGCGAGGGCAAGTTCGGAGAGAGAGAGGGGGGGGAGATGGAGGGGCAGTGGGTGGGGTGGGGCGTGGGGACGATCTCCGGGGGACAATGTCCGGGGAGGAGGGGAGGGACGCGCAGAGGCGGGGACGCGAGAGGGGGGCGAGGTTGCAGGGGCAGAGGCGCAGAGGGGCGGGAGAGAGTGCCCATTGGGGGAGGGGGGGGGATCGGGAGGAGCCCGAGGGGTCCTCGAGGGGCCTCAGCCATCGATCCTCGATCCTGGGTCCTCATCTCCCTTCGTCGGCGGCGAGCCCGGGGGGCAGGTGAGAAGGGTCGGGCCTTCTCTCGGAAGGCTCGGAAGTCCCCGCGGCCTCCCGAGCAGTTTCCTGAGCTTTCCCCGAAGACATTGAATTATGTTGCATCCTCAGGGGACCTTGTCTGTCCCGTCGCGGCCCTGTCCGCGTCGAATCCGTGTCGAATCCATGTCGGACGCGTCGGATCCGTGTCGAATCCGTGTCGAATCCGCGTCGAATCCACGCCAAATCCGCGTCGAGTCCGCATCGAGCACGCGTCGGGCCCCCCCAAAGACACTAATTTTTGGGACAGGGAGGTCCACCGAAGATGCAACAGAAATAAAAGTCCTCTCATAAAGCTGGAGGGCTCCTGAGAAGTCCCGCCGCCCTCTGGGAAGGCCTTCTGCTTCTCGCTTACCCCCCCTCGGGGGCGCCGCCGATCCAGCTTACAGACATCTCCTCCCCGTCGCACCACCATTGGAGGCCTGGAAATGGGCACCAACACCAGCACAGGGGGGTTGCCTCCACATGGGAAAGATGATCCTAGATGTCGGTGTTGGTGGGAATGTTTCGGTCACCTTGGAAGCCATACTATTACCACCATCACCGAGATCGGGATCTTCGTCCCTCGGTGGAGGCACACCGCCGATATTGGTGTTGGTGTCAGCCTGGAGGCCTGCGACACCAGGCGTGCCGGTGGGGCGGGCCGTGCATTCTGCCCGAGGCTTTCTCGCGACTCGTGGTCCAGGACGTGGGCGGTGGGCGGTTCGTTTTGATGGCGTGGCTCTCGCTGTGGCACCGAGCGGTTACAGTAGGGGGAACACACACCTACCTCGCTTTTGACCACCCTCGCTTCCAAGAGATACCAAGCGATGCCAAATTGCAGCCTGTACTGGTCAGGCCGCTTGGCGAGGAGGCGCGTGGTACGGCCTGGTTTTGCCTGGAAGCGAAAGCGGGGTAGGTCATTCACGCTCTGATACAGGGATGGAGGGGCGGAGGGCGGCTCGCTTCCGACATGGGGCTCTCGCTCCCGCGCCTCGCAGATGCGTCTTCAGAACCTTGCGACGGGTGCTCGGGTGGAAGGCGGTATACGTTTCCATAGCAGGGCTCTCGCCTCGGCGCTGCACAACGTTCAGTCTTCAGGCTCGCAGCAGCCGCATCGGTGGAGGACGGTTCCATCACACTGGCGCTACTGCCGGATTCTTCCTGCAATTTAACCCAAGGGCTTGACACTATCGCGTGCGACACCTTCGCGCTGAACAGTCAGAAGCTGTATATATAACATGTAGGGACTGCACGGGTGGAGGGTGGCTCCTTGTCAACATGGGGCCCTCGCTGGAGGCTTTTCTCGCGTCTGGTTGCGGTAGTTGTGAGCTCCTGCAACCAGTTCTATGGCTTTTGCGCGCGGTCCCTCTTGTCACAACGGGGCTCTCGCTGGAAGCATCGTTGAGCTGGATGGCTGGGTGCGGTCTCTTGTCACAACGGGGCGTTCGCTGGAAGCATCGTCGAGCTGGGAGCTCCCATCTCCTCGTGCTCCTTGTAAGCTGCGGTAGGGGATGCGTTATCGAGCTTGGTTGCAGTAGTTGTGAACTCCTGCAACCATTCTATGGCTTTTGCGTGCGGTCCCTTGTCACAACGGGGCGTTCGCTGGAAGCACCGTCGAGCTGGGAGCTCCCATCTCCTCGTGCTCCTTGTAAGCTGCGGTAGGGGATGCAGGGCAGCACCGTTTCTAAAACGGGCTTTCGCTGGAAACATCGCTGGAAGCATCGTCGAGCTGGGAGATCCCATCTCCTCGTGCTCCTTGTAAGCTGCCGTAGGGGATGCGAGGCGACACAGCTTCTAAAAACAGGGCTCTCTCGCCTGAACGGCAGGCCCATGCAACGCTCGTCTTTCCAAGCCCGCTTCCTGCAATGAACAACACTTGTATTTTTTTTTCTCGGGGAGCTTGGTACGGGAGGGCGGATACTGCACCGTTGCCACATCCTGAGCTTGCTCTGGTTCTCCTGCTCCGGCTCCTCTTCCGGTTCTTGCTCCTGCTCCTGCTCCTGCTCCTGCTCCTGCTCCTGCTCCTGCTCCTCCTCCTCCACCTCCTCCTCCTCCTCCTCCTCGTCCTCTCCTCCTCCTCCTCCTCCTCCTCCTCCTCCTCCTCCTCCTCCTCCTCCTCCTCCTCCTCCTCCTCCTCCTCCTTCCTTCGAGCTAGATCGCGCGGTCTACTGGACAAGACATGGCCAACCCAAAGGGGTTGCCACGGAAGGAACCGTTTGTCACGACGGCAGCGTTTAAACCTGGGCCCGCGGTTCACGACGCTCCCGCCTGCCCCCCTCCCACGTCGCCCGCTGCCGGGCACCCAATATTTCCCGCTGCTGCGTCGTGCCCCAACGTCACCAAACCAGTACCAGACAACCTCAGAACAGACATGTACGCTGGTAGTTCTGCTTTGGCCAGGGCCCAGGACAGTTGTCGGTCCCTCGAGATCCAAACGATGAATGCCCACCAGGACCTTGAGGTCCCAGAGGCCGGCTCGAGGGACTGGTTTGTGTCTAACGGTGACGACTGGGCTGACAAGGCCGCCAGACAAGCTGCGGCCCGCATCCCTGGCTCGTCCCAGCAGAAGATTGAATTGCATAGAAACCTAAGCGGCCGAGTCAAAAGTCTGACCAGATCTGCTGCAGAGGGCTCACACCCTGGCCTCCCCTCGCCCCGCGTGCGGGCAAGAAAGCCTACGAGAAACCCTCGAAGAGATCTAGCACCCCTTTGGGGGCCGCTGGAGCGCTGGAGCGGCCCAGGCCTGGGTGGAGAGCCACCGCCCCGGCCTGTGGGTCAGCCTCGGTATGTTCGTGCGTGCCGCAACCACGGCAAGCACCAACGGCGTGGCAAAACATGCGTTGGCCATGCCTTGCCTGCCGCACTCGAACGACATCCGGCAGCACCCGCAAATCGCGCATGCTAGAAGCATGCCGCGATCACGGTGTGCACTTCAATCTTGACATCGGGCGCCCAAGAAGCGTACCACCTGCGTGTGCCGTTACCTCGGTGTCGAGTTAGTGTGCGAGATGTGAGGCCAGCACTGCGAGAGGAGGTTGAAGCGGTCCGAAAAAAATGTAAGGAGAGCTTCCAGAACAAGTATTCCCAGAATGCGTGGGCGGTCATTTCGGGCGGCCGCCACCCCAAAAGCAGTTTGAAGCCCGCCCCCGACTTTCCCAGCCAATCCCTGCTGCCCAACTCTTCAAGGAAGCAGTCGAAAAGCAGGCCGGAGAGAGATTGAATGTATATCGGATGTAACCCCAAGGTCTTTGTCAAAGATCGGGTCGGCCTAATCTGAGGTTTCCCTCCTAGCCGGTGACGGTTCTCGTCATCTCTTTCCTCCTCCTCTTCCTCCTCCTCGTCCTCCTCCTCCTCGTCCTTTTCCTCCTCCTCCTTTTCCTCCTCCTCCTCCTTCACTTCCTCCTCCTTCTCCTCTTCCTCGTCCTTCCTGCTCCTGAACCTGCCAGGGTACCCGAAATAGGCCTCCACAAACCCAATATGCAGCAACACCGGACGTCCCGATTTTTGAAGCTGTCGGGCGTATGGGGAAAGGGTGTTTCTCATAATTTTTATGCAAGAGGGCCTCGGAAGGCTCCTCCTCCTTCTCCTGCAAATATGATCGGAGTTTTCACTGAAGGTAAACAAAGCTTGAGCCAGTCAATAACCAAACGATCCATTGATATTGCCAAGTGTGGTGCCTAACCGCTGTATGCTACGCTGGGGCAGCCGCTGCTCCAGTGCTATGCAGCATTGGAGACTCCTGCGCGCGCGGAAGCGACATGCTTACGCCCTCCCTCGGCCAGCTATGGCTGTGAAGCGCGCCGCAAAAAAAAGAAGGTACTGCAGCGCATGTCCTCGTAATCGAACGCGAACCACAAGCTTCAAATTGTGATGTAAGGTGCATGTCGCAAAGCCACACAGTATGCACGGCGTAAGAGAAGCACAAGGATTATAAGCATAACTGGTGCGTGCAGAAGGCGACCGTGGTCTGCGCGTAAACGTGCCAGGGCGTCCCAACACGCGGTACACTTTTTAGAATGTCGCTAAGCACCAAGCCATGCATACGGCGAAGGCATTGGATGAGGAACCCTTGGATCAGGAACCCAGGGTCTGGAAACTGGTGGAACACCACTTGGGGCTTGACAGTGGAAATCATCGCCGCCTTTACCGGGTAAGGAAGCCTCCAAGGTCTGGGAATCTCCAGGGCACATTCCTTAACAAACGCCCCCACCGTACTGAAAAACATCTTAGACAGGGTCGGATTTACATCGCGTAGACGAGCATGTGGATCTCAATCAGTCATGAGCTCAAGTCCCTGGCAAAGATGCGCGCGATGATAATCCTGACAAGCATTAAACTGACACTCTGTTGCGGACGCCATCTCGTGTCTTCCTTTCACAACCTGTTGATTGGTGCCTCGCAAGTGCATGGGCATGCTGACCCTACTCACATATTCGATCGAAGCAGCATCTGCCCAGTTTTCATGAGTTCCTACGTTGGCCACTTTGATGTCTCCTCGTCCTTCCTCTTGTGGC